AGCTTATAAGCCACGTTTCCTTTCTTTTCTAGAATTTCATAAGGTCCGATAAATCTAGGGCTACGTTTCACTTTCTTACCAAACCTCATAACTCCTTTCATTGGTGAAACTTTCAAAAACACCTTATCACCAACCATGAACTCTAACTCACGATGCCTCTTGTCAGAATAAGACTTTTGACGACTCTGAGCCGCTTTAAGTCTTTCTCTAATTAGCTGAACTTTCTCGAAGGCCTCACAAACAAACTCTGGACCAATCAATGACACCTCTGCTGGTTCAAACCAACCCACCGGAGACCTACATCTCTGCCCATACAATGCTTCATAAGGAGCCATATTAATGCTGGCTTGATAGCTGTTATTGTAAGCAAATTCTATAAGTGGCAAGTGATCATCCCAATTACCTCCAAAATCTATAACACACGCACGCAGCATATCTTCGAGAGTCTGAATGGTCCTTTCTGCCTGGTCATCGGTCTGTGGATGGAAAGCAGTGCTTAAGTTGACTTTGGTACCTAATCTTTTCTGAAATGCCTGCCAAAAATGCGCCGTGAACTGAGGGCCTCTGTCAGATATGATTGAAACTGGAGTACCATACAATCAGACTATTTTTTTGATGTACAACTGCGCATACTGCTCTGCAGAATCTGTCATCTTTACTGGTAGGAAATGTGCGGACTTTGTCAGTTAGTCTACAATAACCCAGATTGAATCATGCTTATGGTATGTGCAAGGTAGACCTACTACGAAATCCATATTAATCATCTCCCACTTCCACTGTGGTATCTCTATGTCTTGAGCTAGGCCACCAGGCCTCTGATGCTCGGCTTTGACTTGCTGGCAATTTAAATATTTAGCCACATGATCTGCTACTTGTTTCTTCATGCCTTTCCACCAATACAACTCTTTCAAATCTAGATACATTTTGGTAGCACCTGGGTGGATAGAGTACCTCGAACTGTGAGCTTCCTCCATTATGGCCTTCCTAAGACCACCTACATCAGGCACAAATAACCGATCATTCAACTTCAAAACTCCATCACTTCCTAGAGTGAAAGCAGTGATTTCTTTGTTTCTGACTCCTTTTAATTTCACTAAGTACGGATCTTCGTCTTGCTTAGCCTTAACATGCGCAACAAGGGAGGATTGCGCTAAGGCATAAGCAGTTATATCTCCTTCTTCGGTCTCATCCAATCTAATTCCATCATTTGCTAGTTTTTGAATTTCTCGACCCAAAGATCGCCTTTGTTCTGCAAGATAGGCCAAAACGCCCATTGACTTCCTACTAAGTGCATCTGCTACCACATTAGCTTTGCCCGGGTGATAAAGGATATTGATGTCATAATCTTTCAATAGCTCGAGCCACCTTCTCTGTCTCAAATTTAGTTCTTTTTGCTTGAAAATGTACTGGAGGCTTTTGTGGTCTGTAACCACTTCAGAATGCTCGCCATAAAGGTAATGTCGCCATATCTTTAATGCAAACACCACTGCTGCGAGCTCTAAGTCGTGTGTGGGGTAGTTCTTTTCATGATTCTTTAACTGCCTGGAAGCAAAAGCAATAACTTTTCCATTTTGCATAAGAACACAACCAAGGCCCACTCTGGAGGCATCACAATACACTGTGAACCCACCCGAACCTGTCGGCAAGGTTAATACAGGTGCAGTGGTCAACCTCTTCTTTAACTCTTGAAAACTCTGCTCATAAACGTCTGACCATTGGAACTTAACTGCTTTCTGAGTCAACTTAGTTAATGGAGCTGCAAGTGAGGAAAACCCCTCTACAAACCTTCTATAGTAGCCAGCTAACCCCAAGAAACTCCTGATTTCGGTTGGCATTGTCGGCCTAGGCCAGTTCTTGACTGCTTCTGTCTTCTGAGGGTCTACTTTTATTCCTTCACTAGATACCACGTGGCCTAAGAATGCCACTGACTACAACCAGAACTCACATTTTGAAAACTTGGCATAAGGCTCATTCTCCTTGAAGGTCTGCAAGGCTATTCTGAGGTGTTCTGCATGATCTTCCTTGCTCTTAGAGTACACCAAAATATCGTATATAAACACAATAATAAAGGTATACAGGAATGGCTTGAAAACTCTGTTCATGAGGTCCATGAATGCCGCTGAGGCATTTGTCAACCCGAAGGACATCACTAGAAATTCATATTGCCCGTAGCGAGTTCTAAAGGCTGATTTAGATATATCTTTTTCCCTGATTCTCAATTGATGGTACCCCGACCTCAAGTCTATTTTTGAAAAGTACTTTGCACCCTGAAGTTGATCAAATAAATCATCAATTCTTGGTAATGGGTACTTGTTTTTAATGGTAACTTTATTCAAATGTCGATAGTCGACACACATTCTGAGAGACCCATCTTTCTTCTTTACAAACAGGATCGGGGCACCCCACGGTGAAACACTCGGTCTGATGAAACCCTTGTCAAGAAGGTCTTTCAACTGTTCTCTCAACTCATTAAGTTCTGCTAGAGCCATCCTATAAGGAGGTATAGATATGGGCTGAGTGCCTGGCATGAGATCAATGCTAAAGTCTATGATTCTTTTGGGAGAAAGTCCGGGAAGGTCATCTGGGAAAACTTCTGGAAATTCTCTAACAATTGGCACTGACTGAAGAGCTGGTGGTTCTGATTCTGGATTAATAATGTGAGCCAAATAGGCGAGACACCCCTTACCGATCATTCGTTGTGCCTTAAGGTAAAAAATAAACTTACTTACAAGCGATGCTGAACTACCCTTCCACTCTAAGACTTCTTCATTTGGAAATTGGAACCTGACTATCTTAGCATGACAATCTAACATGGCATAGCAGGAAGACAACCAATCCATACCCATGATCACATCAAAATCCACCATTTCTAACTCTATGAGATCGGCTTTAGTGTTGCGACCTTAGACTGAAACTATACAACCTCTATAGACTCTGGTGACTTTCACTGACTCGCCAATTAGAGTAGATACTAGGAATGGTTCACTAAGTTGTTCAGGTTCTAGTCCGAGGTTAATTGCAAAGTATTGAGTCACATATGAAAATGTTGAACCTGGATCTATTATGGCATAAGCATTATGTGAGCAGACTAAAAGTATACCTGTAATAACTTCTGCAGATGCCTCTGCACTCTAACGATCAAGTGTAGCAAACAAACGGGATTGTCCCCCTCCCTGAGTAACTCGGTCTGCACCTCTGCCTACTCCATGCCCGATCTGATTATGAGAACCACGAGCCTGAGGTGGTGCAACTGCAGTAGCTGAGGAACTAGAAGGACTAGTTGGTCCACCACTGAGATTACGTCGCAACTTTGGGCAGTTGGCCTTTATATGACCAATGTCTCCACAATGGTAGCAACCATGAAACCCGAGCTTGCACTGACCTGAATGTTGCCGCTTACATGTTCCACAAAGACTTTGCTGGTGTGAATATTGCTCAGCATGATTCTGGCTATGTGAGGATGATGTCCTAAAATTCTGATTCTGGCGAGACTAATTTCCATTACTCTGAGTACGTCTGAAGGAAGACCCACCACCTAATTGATGACTGAACTGAGTTAGTGCTAATGACTCCTTATTAGAGGAATCCCTTCCACCTCCGCTGGATGTACCATTAAACCTGCCCGTTGTACGGGCTTTCTTGTTAAGCTTTTTTTCTTCTCTCCTTAGTTGTTTGTCTTTCTCTAAGTGTTTGGCAAATCCCACAACAGAGGAGAAGGCTTCCATACCTACTGCTGCAGCTGATGTCGTATCCTTAATGTGGTAAGCTAAACCGCCCACAAACCTGCGAATCTTTGCTTTTTCAGTCTTAACCACGTGAGGAGCATGCTTAGCTAACCTTATGAATTCCATGTAGTACTCTTGCACACTTTTATTCCCTTGCTTGAGCTGTTCGAACTCTGTAGCCTTAGCTTCCCTATCCTTTTCTGGGATAAAGTTAGCCATGAAGGCCTCTTCAAATTCTTCCCAAGTAGGCGGACCATCATCTTCATCTCTTTCCTTTTCCCACATCTCAAACCAAGCGTCGGCCACATCTCTAAGCTGGTAAGCAGCTAGCTCTACATCTTCATCATCAAATGCTTTCATCACTCGGAGGGCTTTCTTGACACCCTCCAGCCACATCATCGGATCTTCATCAACTATAGAACCATGGAACACTGGAGGACTCAACTTCAAAAATTCATTCACTCTTGAGGACTCAGAATTGCTCTATCTATTTGATTGAGGTGGAATCTCATCTCTTCTCTCATTCTGGTTGGCCATAATGGCCTTAAACATCTTNTAAACATCTCCATAGCACTGTTGACTGCATTGAACATCTGACCCACCTCTGGGGATATAGTTGTTTGAGTCGGAGCTGCTGTTGGGGTTGGCGTTGGATCCTGAGGTACTTGCTCATCATGCTCCACCCCTTCTTCATGTTCAACCTGGGGTACTTGAACCCCCCTTGTGGATTTACCCTTCCTTTTCTGAGTTCGAGCCTTTTTAGTTATGCCTTGAGCCACGATAGTAGCAATAGTTTCTTGAGCAGCATCCTGAGTATCGGTGTCGGAGTTGCGAGTACGAGCCATTTCTGCGAGTTTTGGAGAAACGAATACATTAGATAATTTCTTAGAGACATCTGCTGCACGATCTAAAGTATGAGAAAAATGAGACTTTTTCCTAAATGTTGGTAGCCTCATGTTTATAAGTATGGCACGCTTCATACACATAAACAAGGCTCTACTAACACGGCTTCATAGACACCTAGGACTCCATAAACCTGAAGCTCTGATACCAAGTTTGTCACGACCCATTTCCTGAACAAGCCTAGACCGGCACTCGATCACTAAACATGACCGAGCGAACCATCTCTGCTTATTAACCCTATTATAACTCCAAACTTTATATGCAACAAAGCAATACTCTAAACAAATACTTTTGGATTAATTCAAATATTTAAATAAATCAACTCCAAAGCTTTATTCGTAGTAACTACTGAATTACTGCTAAGTTATTATAAAATAACATCTGAATCTCAACCCAATGACTATGTCTATGAAGCTTCTACTGACAAACTGACGCACTGCTCAGGACATGATATTTTCTGGCTAGTTCTCTAAATAAACTAAGAAATAGCTAAATGAAAATGACTCTAAGAATACTCCACGAACAAAAGCGGAGCTCACCAATATCACTGGAAGGGAAGGAAGTCCTAACTCGTAGCCTGCTCGCCTGCAAATCCGGTTCCTACGTTGTACCGCAGACCAACGTAGGTTCCCAAAAGAGAACGTCAGTACCATCCACTGTACTCAGTGAGTCTCAACAACAGGGGGAGAAACTTTAATAACATATACATTACGAGCAAAGGTTCTAAATGCATGTAAAACATAAAGCTTATAAGAATAATTCTAAAATAATTGCATAATAGCAATTTATGAATATTCTAAAAGAAATTCTTTTCTTTTTCTTTCTTTAAAAAAAATACTTCACTTTATACTTTGGGAGTTCCAACTATCCTGACTTAATTCTGTCTCAGTCACCGTGTGATCGGCACGGGTTCGATCCCAACCTGATCGAATAGGCCCAATCCACGAGGTGCCACTCGCTTCATGGTTCTCAGCGCTCATGTATCATACCTTAGCATGGCTAAGTAAATTCTCAGCAACGAGACCCTCGGCTCGTATGCTCCCTACTTTGGCACAAGTAGTTTCAGGAAGTCAATGCCTTGGTCGGGACCCTCGGCCTGGACGATGACCCCTTCACTCAGAATAAAGGATACTCCCCAAAAATCTTTTCTTTCTAAAACTTCTTCTTGTGACTTTTCAAGTCTAAATCTTTTCTTTATAGAACATTATGTACATGCTCATATTGGTATCCTTAAATGTAAAACATGACATAAGAATGAAATAAACATATAAAAATATTTCTAAAGATTCTTTCTTCTTCATAATTTTCAACATGAAATTAACATATAAGAATAATACAAAAATCTGAAAATTTAAGCACATATAGCATAATATATCATCTAAACTTTTGCTAGAACAATTCTAAATTAATGGGTACTCACTCGCTCTAATTAAATAAAGATAAACTCTTTTACGCAATTCGTCAAACACCTTGTATGCGTGCTTTTGTGAGTTAAACCACTTTAGTAAAGGGTTATATCAACTCACCTCAAAACTTCTCGAGCCAATACGTAGCCCCAGTCAAATTGATACCAGTCAACCAATCGATTCTACAACAACCAATATATTTTAATTAATTTTAAAGTACTACACCTAAATATGAAATTTATTGTTGATATAGAGGAAGAAGGGAATTAGCTATTCAATTCTTACGTATTACTACTTTAGGATAATTGAAAATAGGGAATTTTATATACCTGAATTTAAGAATTAGTGATTTGTAAAGAACCCTAGAATCTTTCGTTGCCTGTGTGATAAATGGAGCCTCTGTTTCGTGAGGAACGATTCTGTTTTTTTTTTTTAGCTTTTGCTTTCCGTCCTTTTTGATAACGTTCTGCCTCTCTTTTAAGGCTTGGAGGCTATTGTTTCAAACAACCCTTTTTATGGGCTTTTAAGCCTTTTTCCATTTTTTTTTTAAATTACTACTAACTAATGATACTTTTTTTTTTGAAAATTAATAATATTAAAACTATTGATATTTTCTTAATTGTATATCCAATTATATATATATATATATATATAGGCAAGATAAAAATAATAAAAATAGTAATAAATTAGTTCTATAGTTAGCGTGTCTCGAAACTTTTATAAATTTGGGAGAGTGTTACAAGCCTGTTATCAACATGCTGAAAATTGCAATAAAATGTTTGTTTTTTATATCCAGAGGGATCTAGTTCTTTATTTTTTTTAGTTTAGTTTAATTAGAGGAAAATTTTCTAACTAGAAGGTTTAGAGCAGGCAAATTTATGCCAAGTCTGTATGAGAAATGTGCCATCCTTCTGTTATCTTTTTTAGTTTAGTTTAATTAGAGGAAAATTTTCTAACTAGAAGGTTTAGAGCAGGCAAATTTATGCCAAGTCTGTATGAGAAATGTGCCATCCTTCTGTTATCTTTTTTAGTTTAGTTTCTCTTATTTTTCTTTTTGTATAATTAAAATTTGGCATTTACGTTCTCTCTTTAAAGTTACATGTTAAAAAAATATTCGTTTAAGTTTGGTAAATAATCTGTTTAAAGCTATGTTTGTAAAAGATTTCTTTATTTGGAAATGTTCTATTGGATTTTGGTGTTGTCTATTTTTTGGTATTAAATAGTGTTAGTTCTGTGATAAAGTTTAGTTTCCTTGAACACTGTTAAGCTCGTATAAGGATCAATATTTTTCTTTTTCGCGGATTAACCTTTTCCTTGCAATCATTTGATAAATTTTAGTTTTCCTTTAAATCGTTTCCTATTTATGGATCTATCATGTTTGGATTCATATTTTGAATATTCTGAAGTTGGTTTCATGTGCTGATTAGAATTGATTTTATCCCTATTTCTTATGTACTTCATGTTGGTCTGAAATAATGGAATGATGGTGTGAATATTTATTTTAGTATGCAATTGAGCCTGCTGCCAGCCTAGGTTCCTTCAAATAACCAAACACTTTTTAAATTAGTTTGAGGTGTGCCATATTAGCCAAACGTACAATTTATGGCCCTCAAAATTAAATTTAGAAACCCTTTTGCTAGAATAATTAGAGGCGTGCCATGCCAAATAAAATCTCAAAACCCATGGCCCTCAGTTAACTAATTTTTATCCTTAGAAATCGAGGCGCGCCATTTAGCTGAACTTCCATGGCCCTCGCAAACTTGAAAGTGCGTAGTTACTTTAGGCGCGCTATAAAAAATTACTTTCCTAAACCCAGGTGCACATTTATGTGACCCAAATCTAAATCTCAACAACGTTAGATAAAATGTGTTGTGGACTGCGGGTGCATTTATGTGACATAGTTCAAGACACGTTTTATATAACGTTGAATCTTCCTTAAAATAATTAAAAGCGGCTAATAAGTTAAAATTGAACCATAGGTTAAAGCATGTATTAAAATCAGATAATAGGCCAATTGTAACAGTTGAGCGACCGCGCTAGAACCACGGAACTCGGGAATGCCTAACACCTTCTCCCGGGTTAACAGAATTCCTTATACGGATTTCTGTGTTCACGGACTGTATAACAGAGTCAATCTTTTCTCGATTCGGGATTCTAAACCGGTGACTTGGGACACATAAATTATCCCAAGTGGCGACTCTAAACTTTAAAAATAATCCTGTTTCGATTGTCACTTAAATTAGAAAAACTCCCTTATATACCCCTTTACGGGAGTGTAGGAAAAAGGAGGTGGGACAAACAGAACATGGCTAATTGGCACACCCAACAACCTTGTTAGTTTTGAGACACTTAACATATAGGAAATCGCACATTGGGATGCAATGCACCTAAACAGTTAAATGCTTCTACCATGTGTCACACCTCCTTTTTGCGCGCCCGGCCCCGAAGGATTAAATGCGCGAGGGGAGTTTTTCCAATTTAAGTGACAATATTCGAAATGGGATTATTTAATTAATTCAGAGTCGCCACTTGGGAAAGGTTTGGCTTTTGGTGTCCCAAGTCACCGGTTTATCTTGAATCCCAAATCGAGGAAATTTTCGACTTTTCCAAATGAAGTCTGCGAACCAGAAATTCTAAGTAAGGAATTCTGTTGACCCGAGGGAAGGTGTTAGGCACCCTCGAATCCCGTGGTTCTAGCACGGTCGCTTAAATTGTTATAATGGCTAAATATCTGATTTAAATACATGTTGTGACTTATGTGCTTTATTAAGTTTAAACCGCTTTTATTATTATCATTTATTTTTTATAGAGTTTCAACGTCGTGAAAATGCATCTCGAGCCACGTCACAATCAATGCACCCGTGATCGTCAACATATTTTGACTCCATTGAGATTTGGATTTGGGTCACATCAATGTGCACCCGAATTTAAGAATATAATTTAATTAAGC